AACATCTATACTTATATCTTCCTTCATGAATTAAAAAAGAAAAGATAGTTGCGTTTTTATTTTTTAAGAAAATCGCATCCAAATATAGGTGATCAAAAAGTGACGGGCGTTATGTTGACACAGTTAATGGGAATTTTGAAGGTTTTTTCGCCCTTCTCGAAACGTTAAAAAAACCACCACATGCATGAATCTGACCACACTTTCACTTGGAATGAATTAGACAGCTTTTTATGACCTATCTGTAAAATAAATAAGGCACAATTAGTCGTGACGGAGGTGACGTCAAATTCTCTTGCTGTAGCATTTTCATCATTCTTACTTTCTGCAAAGAAATCGTGTTTTCGGTGTTTTTTTCACTACATGAAGAAATAAAACTAGTTTTTCATTTTAAAAAAGCAGAATAATGTACATTACTTCTTTCTTTAACAATTTTTTATTCTGTTTAATAAATGGATGTTATATTTGACCTTTTGACAAAAATGGATTTTACAAATTGACAAACTAAGGTTTGCTAGTTACGGAGGTTACATTGACGCTGATTTTTAAAGCATTTCGTAAGTTTTCTTAAGAATACACATGATTTCATACATGCAATAAAGTTTGTGTGTCAAATATCTACATCCAAACATTCTGCTAATACTATAATTAAAACTACTGCAAGTATTTTCATGAATTTTTTAAGCACTGTGACGGATGTTACAATATAACGTCCGTTACGGTTTTTCATGGTAGTTACATTTTAACTCTCTACGGGCTTTGTAATTTTTATTTAGTAAATTTATTATTTGTTCTTCATTAATCAGTTAACATACAACTGAAGTTTACTGATAAAATTTCATCTTTAATAACACAATAAGAAAAAAAATTGGTATCAGCACAGATTAAGAATGGTCAAATCATAACAGGCAATCAGCCAAGAAAATCAATAAGGAACTGGTAGCATGGCATCTGAAAAGAAAATAAATTATTTTTTTAATAATCAAAACAGCGAAAAATATGTCCATAGAATTTCTGTGTTACATATTTGAATTATTGTGCTTCAGAAGTTAAGGTTTGACATTGTTTTCTGTCAAACTGTCACATCCGTATATTTTATGTTAGTCAAAATATAACTGCCGAACTCTATGATCGTAATAGTTTTAGAAAAATGCTTAACTTTTGTGTCAAACAATAACAATTATAGATTTCAACACATTGGAGAACAAGGCTTGTCCATTTTATCATTAAATATTATATAAATCTTATTTAGTTATTAGCGTGACGCCTGTTATCTACTAAGAAATGTTGACCGACAATACAAACTCACCCACTTTGCCTCCTTTTTTTGTATCATGGTCACTTTTGATGACGTATTCTGCAAATGTGTGGTAAAACTAATAGAAAAAACGAACTGGTTCTATATATCGCATATGTAAGTCATTTTACGCCCTAGATTACGGACGTTACGAAATTGACCGACACCTGTGTACCTTTGCTAAATTTGCGATAATTTAGTATTTAAATCCTTTACACAGACGTTATGGGAAAGCACCTGTTGAGTATACTTTTAAGTTAAACCTAACATAGAATATTCGTATATTTTCTATACAGTTACATACATTTCAATGTTTAAAGTCAACCCATCATGTTGACCGACACTCATAACGTCCGTTATACATTTTCAAAGCTATTTTTCTCGGGCTGATGATAACCAATTGTAAGGTAAACATCTATCTTTTAGAATATTCATATATAAAAAAGTATTAATTTCAGTTTGTTTTTTTTTAAATGCATTTTTGACACATAGGTTGGGAAATCTCTTATAAGCATACGCAAAAGTTGGACAATTTTACACAAATTCGGTAATATTAATTTCATTTCTTAAAATAAAAAGATTAAATTGTTCATTCTTTCTCTTTTATATTACAGAAGTATAAATACAACTTTCTGAATTGCAAAAAAATATATATTCTTCTTGATTTCAATTTCAAAAGTGACGGCCGTTATTATTTACAAATAGCTGATCCTTGCCCTAATAGAAGGGTCGTAATAAATCGATATATTGCAAGGGCATACCCTCAATGGATTATGACAAGCTTTTACACATAAACTCAAGAGGTATGAAGATATTTGAAAAGTGCTGCGAACCTGACGAAATCTTGCAAATGAATTAATTATATCTATATTTAATGTACTTGACCAGCAAAATATTCAGCATACGGACTAACAAACGTAATTTTAGCAGTCATATAGTAGAATCTATATAGGTTCGCAGCACTTTTCACAAACTACAAAGAGTGTTGAAAATAATTATAAATTAATCCTAGATTTTCAACGTGGTTATGCCCTTGCAATATTGGAATTTATAGATGACCTCAATATTGCAGGTATATTTGCTAAAATCACGTGACTGCCACATTACGTCACAAGTCTAGGTAAGAAATCTAATCGTCCCCAACATGTAGTTTTCAACCACATTACATTTGTCTGATAATAGTAAAGTCCTAAAAAGAATCGCCCATCCTTGTAAAGAATGTATTTTCTATATAAAAAATTCGCCGATATTTCCATTTGTCACCTTAACTGTACTGCGTTTGTAGAAAAGGCTTCACATATTTTCCGCAGCTTGAAGACTCACATGAAAACACACACACGGGATGCACGGAGATGAGAAATGTTAGGCTATGGAAAGATTTTATGCATTCAATAGATTTGCAGACTCATTTTTTTTAATACACTGTTAGAAAACACACACCCTTTGCAAGGAATATGGCAAAGCTATCAGAAATGTGTATGGGCTTGAAACACATGAACAAATTCACAAAAGTAATACTAATTAGCCCAAGGTATGTGACTTTTGTGGTCAAATTTTCAAACAGCAACCAAATCTGCAAGAGAATGGAAGAATCCATTATGAGGATGTACACTTTGTGATATGACATTTAGACACTTAAGCCAAAAATTGAAGCATATAAAATCACATGTCGACAATGTAATTAAATCACTGAGCCATCAAAGTGTACAATTGATTACCAGGGTAATCTCTTGATCATGTAGGTATATTTTCAGGCCTTATGGTGGTCATACATTGGCATATATTGATAAATATATTACATGATGGACATCAATAGGCAAACTTTTTACGTTTATAATAAATACTTAGCCCTAAAAAAATGTTAGTTCCTAGTTCAGACCCCATGGTGGAACTAAATTGGACGTAAATTGCATTACACAATGAAAATGTTCGTTTTTCTTGTACATGTACATGTATAAGGCAAATTTTACACATGTAAACTTAAGTAACCAAACTTTAAAATTCACGTCGTACTGACCCAGCCAGTATTTGAGTCCAGTCTGGGATCTATTGGTCATAAAAATATGTATTTAAACTCCTTTTCTACAATTTTAAAATCTCTGTCACCTATATCCAGAACTCATGTCCCAGGTTGGGGCTAAGGTGGTTGTGTATGATATAAATTTTGCATGTAGTTGAGTGTAACATTGAAAATAATTTTCACCCCAAGAAATTCTTTGTCAACCGAGGTGCAGCCGAAGTTGACAATGGTTTTCGAGGGGTGACAATTTTCAATGTTACACTCAACTACATGCAATATTTATTATATTATACTGAATATATATATATATATATATATATATATATATATATATATATATATATATATATATATATATATATATATATATATATATATATTGAAACGCAAAAGAGACGCAACAAGCAGTAATCTACAAAGATTTGAATTTTTTATCTAATGACTTTCAAAAATGAATAATGTAAAGTAAAACTCGATTTTAAAACATCAGAGATTTGATAAAAAATATTAAATGATTATCTTTTAACTTGAGAAAGTAACACATGACTGTTAAAACACCCCACCCCGGCCATTCAATTACAGCTTGCAAGACTGCCATGCACAACAACTGCAGCTTGATTTCTACGATGCAATAGGTTCATCAATCTCGAGATCTGAGCGAAAGAAATAATCTTTGCCATTTTTAAATGCCCCTTTTTCAGATGATAAGGTCGAATTTTCTCTAGACTAGCGCGGTGTAGTAACCCTTGGACTTCCTATCCAAGGACTGTCATTCATGCTACTGATACGTAAGAGCCTCTTGAGGCGTGATGTAGTGCATATTTGCATCTGCAACTCTCCATCACCTTTATTTTGAGATTTTCAAGCTACAGCAATGGAAATCCGTACTTAATTCATAATTATATCCCAGTGGAAGAAGGCGTGGCCCTTCATTTGAACAAACTTGAATCCGTTTTATCCAGGGATACTTTGTGGCAAGTTGGTTAAAATTGGCCCATTATTCTTGAGAAGAAGACGAATATGTAAAAAGTTTACGACAACGGCGACAGACAAATTTTGATCAGAAAAGCTCATTTGAGCCCTAGGCTCAATGGCTCAAGTGAGCTAGAAAGGCATGTTTCCAGGAACTATTTCGACAGCCCTTAGTATTTAAATTTTAAGCACGTACATGTATAATCAAACTGTGTTATTCAATCATGACACAAATGTGCTGAAGATAAAAAATAAAGCTTGAACAGATAATTTAAGAAATCAATTTAAAATTACTGATATACCTGTATGACAAGAATTAAATGTCCACGAACTGCATTTGTCGCCCGCGTGGCGCTGTGGTTAATTAGAGTGCTTGCTCTAGAGTCGCGGAGTAAGGAGTTGATCCTTCCGTCGCGGGTTCGAATCCCACTGTGAAACGTGGACACTGGTCCTTCGGATGAGACCGTATAAACCGAGTCCCGTGTCGCAGTAGGTACTGGCACGAAAAAGATCCCTCACTGCTCAATGGCCCTGAGTGCCGAGTATAGGTCAAAATTTGCAGCTCTCCACCGGCAAATGGCGGCGTCTCCATATGAGTGAAAAATTTTCGAGAGGGACGTTAAACAACAAACAAACAAAACGAACTGCATTTTTTTTTTCAAGTAAGTGAATGAAATAAAAAGAAATTTACAATTCAACAATATGGAAAATGAATTGAACTATAGGGTTATTTATTACTTTGAGATATCCGTAATAGACATAATTGAGAAAGATAACATCTGTTAACGTACACTATATAAACTCCGAATAAGGTTCAGGAAAGAAAGTTCACCAAAACAAAACAATTTGCAATTCTCTTTGATATCAGACGAGCTTCCAGGTGACATGTACTAATATTCATGTTTAATTTCTTGTACTTCAGCTTTCAAATACCCAACTTCTGCTTGAACTTGACCTCTCAAATTTCTTACTTCTGCTTGAACTTGATTTCTAAAATTTCCTACTTCTGTTCTCAAATTTTCAGTTTCTGTTTGAAATTGTGTTCTCAAAATTCGAATTTCTCTTTGAAATTTATCGTTCAAATTTCTAACGCCTGTTTGCACATTGTGTAAGGAAGACTGGATGCCCCTTTGTTGATTTTGAACATCTGTTATTGATGTTTGCATACTCATTATTGACAATTGCAATTCCAACAGAATTTTTTCTAAATCAACTTCGGATGAAGCATTTCTTTCCTGTGCTAAATTTAAAGGATTTTCCGATGCTCTAGGGTTGTTTCCAGAGACAAATGGAGAACATGGCTTTAAATTGTGAGGGAGACCAAATGAATCTAAAATTCTAACCATTGGTGTTACTAAACAGGACCCTTTAGACGTCGAACCTATAGCCATCCCGATACAGCTAAGTGTCTTATCTGGGTTGATACAAAAGACGAAGGCTCCAGAATCACCAGGTTCAAAAAATGTTCCGTGAGGTAGGCTTTGAATTTCAATTTGGTTGCACATACAAACAGGTGTTTTATCCGGCAATTCTCCAATGTCATCCACAAAGCGGATATGCGATCCATTAAAATAGAGATTTCCAATCGTGAATCCTGTTTTACTTCCGTATTTTACGACACTGTCTAATTTTCCAGGAATTTTGTTGATTTCCATAGGATCTGGCACATTAACAACCTCCCCAGTAAACATGGGTGGCTTATTTGGGTCGAATCCTGGAATCAAAATAAAGGAACTTCTTTAGAGTAATAAAATAAAATTATACTAACGTTCATGTTATTCTTTCATTATGTTTGACAATCACAAACACAAAAATAGGTTTTAAAAATTAGAAAAATTTGAGACCACGAAGCTTGATGGATATTTCGAGTATCTCACGATACTCATACAAGAATTGAAATTTTGTACCTGCATGTAATTTACAATTTGGTGAAGACTGTTTTCACTATCATACTCGTGAACCTGAATATTTTAAAAGCATGTGATTCTTCATTTGAATAAAGTTGAATTCCCAAGATACATTTCTTTTGCAAGTTTGGCTAATACCGTGTATTGCTCTTGGGAAGAGGTAAAAAAAAATTGTTAAGTTGTGACAACAAATTAAAACTAGAAGTCCTGAGATCACGGACCTCGATAAAGTGCACCGCCACAGCATATTATACGCCCATCAAATATTGTCCAATTATCATATAAACAGCTTAGAGTGCAAGGAAGAAAATCATGTCTCCTTGTTACAAAGATTTCAATTATTTTTCCATTCCTTATTTTTGATGTCCATCTCCTATGGTGTAGTGTTAACATACAGGGTTTAGAACAATTTTTGTTGACATTTTAAACTTGGAATGTATTTATATCATAATCATTGTGGTTATTATAGTAAGCATAAGCGAGAGAAATTAAATAAAAGTAAATTAAACCAGGATGGACATTAAGGTGTATCACATACAGTGAGTTTATAAGTGGAAAGGGACTTCAATTTTATGAACTATATTCATCTTGTTAGAACAAATTGAATTTTGATGTTGGTACAATGAACTATAATTTTGTAAATTCTTTTGTACTGGAATTGATCAGAGTCAAACCCATCGATACTAAGAAATAAAATTTGAACGAAAATGCAAAGTTACTAACTAAGAGCAATAAAATTGGGAACTTTGAAGTAGATAAGTAAAAGAGCGTAGGGCTAGAACTCCTGTGGTCCAGAGATAGGGACTGAGCCATAATACCAACGTAGGTATTAACTTGATTGAAGGGTGGTGCCTTGTTTGGGTTCATTGGTCTACAGACAGATCTACGGACAAAACGTAGGTGGTATGGCAATAGTACGACAACCAATAAAAATTACGGTAATATCTTGGATCTCTGATCATAAAATACCCTGTTTTCCGGAAAACCGGATCTTCAGACATTCTTTTGAATCTTTATATTTTTTTTTTTTTACATCTTTTGGCAGTTTTTAAGACTCTTTTCGAACTTTTACTACATGTACATGTAGTTCTAAGTCTTGAATATTTTGGCAATTTTGGACTTATCTAAAAAACTATTAGTTGGTGAGTTGTAATGAACTTCCAGGACTTATAATTAAAACTCTATACGATCACGGTATAATAATAAACTTTTTCCCAATTTATTATTTTAAAGTACCAGTATAATCCCTATTAACCACCCCTGCCCCTATAAGCGCCCCCTAGGTCTTTATCAATTGTCGGGAAATAAGGGCCCCCTGTACAGTGATTAAAATAATCTAGAATTGTATCGAAAGTCCGCCATAATTTGAAGAATGTGAAAATGAAACTTGGTTATTGGGTAACTCGTACGTAAAGTATTCCTGAAAGTGAAAGATCTTTAGAACGACAGAAAGTGAAAGTTATCTACAAAATTTGTTCTCCTCGTGTATTCTCTAATTTCTCAGTGGAAAAGTGAATCATTTAGCATAATTTGGATGGATTATCTTAACTTAAAGGAAAGTTCTTTTAGTGGTTCTCTGAATTTTTTTCTTTCAAAAGATTTCTTTAAGTTAAAATATGACATTAAATATTGTATTGAGAATACAAAAATAACCGCCCCCTTTTCGCAATTTTCAAAGCGCCCGGGCGGTTAATAGGGATTATACGGTAATGCTAGCAAAGAAGTACTATTTAATTTGATATAGATAATATATATTGGAATTAAGAGGCCAGACTCCTCTGCCCAATTTCCAAGAGATAAAGATAACACCTGCTTAAGCAGAGATGCCCAACCAGAAATCTCCATTCACTAAACTCGTTAATTAATCTCTTATTTAACATGAAATTTGTCTGTTATCAAAGTTCTCCTTAAAACACCATGGGACCATTGCTTGGAAATTACACCCATGGGACAAGTGGAATTTTTCCTTTTTACTGACACAAAAGAACGATTATATTTGTTATAGATTAATGTAACGTTTATCATGAAAAAATACTGTGTATTTTCATGATTAAATTTTCTTTATTAAGGTTGTTGCAATAGTCTTAATCTATTAATTTGTTAGGATTGTGTAACTTATGAGTTCAACCATATTAAAAAAATATTCACCTTAATTAAAGATCACAGTGATCTTAAAGTAGGATGCGACATACCTTTTACCTGAGATGAATAATTAACCACTTATGATGACTCTAGGTCTAATAGCTTTCCAGTTATAAGTCGGACAGGATTTGGCCATCTTTGGCCACATCATCTTAAGTAAAGTACACAGCGACCTACTTTTAATGTGCAACACACCTTCTACCCAAGATATATCAGCTGAAAAAGTTTTATTATTCCTGGCCTCATAGTATTTAAGCTACGAGCCAAACACGTCAAAGCTAACAGACAGACAGACGGAGGACATGAACCCATACCATAATACGTATCATCTTAAGACGGAAGTATACAAAATGATATCCCCCACCTCCCATATGAGTATAAAGGCAAAGTATCCGTTTGTTTTGCAAAGCCAAGATATCTGTCTGATCAATATGTAAATTGGGTGTACAGTGAGATTTTATGCCATAAACATTCTCTAATATTCTCATTAAATTTGAACTAGTGGAAGGGCAGCAGATAAGAGATAAGTACACCCAGTATTATAGAAAGAAAGACAGTGTCTATGTTTTGCTATTGGAAACCAAAATGACATTTTGTAATTTAAATTTTAAAATTTCATTTCATTGCACTCAGTGGGATAAGATGAGTTTTAGGATAAGGGACAGCTATACCCTAGTGTAATGGACAGACAGACGGACACCCCCGACATCCCCGTTTTTCGGGCGAAAAGGGTAGAATAAAACCTAGCAATATATATATGGGTCAGCTATGCTAAAGAAAAGGTTTGAAACAAAACCGAATTAAAAGGTTTGCAACAAAAGCACACTGGAAACATTGAGGGGTGGTCAACTGAAATCTTACCGAGTAATCTGACATCTATCAAGAAATATGTTTTCAACATACCTGCTGAATATAGTTGATGAGCAAGGGTTATAGGAAATCCAAATTCATTCACAGATGGGTCAAGTTTTATCAAAGCAGCATCAACTGAGTCGTTATAAGACGATAATGGAAAACATTTATCCACAATGGTGCCACACACTTGAAAATTATGCTGATTTTTATCAAAAACTTCTACATTTAAATCGATACCATTGCCAAGTACATAGTTCTGTATTTCATTATTTGGCATTTTCAATTCATCTGTTGAAAACACAACATGAGCACATGTTATTAAACCAACTGTATCATTTGACAGATCAACAAAACCTCCAATGCTTCCATTTCCAGGAGTATTTATTCCTTTGGCACGACGAATATGTCCTCCAAAATCTATAGATCTGCCACTTCCCAGAAAACAGTATCCTTCTTGCACATCTACTTGATATCCATTGATTTGTTTTGGAAACTCTCTTTCTCCAAAAGGAATATATCCTTTATGTAAACATAACAGACTAATGCACGGTTTTTCGACAACCCTATGTTTTCCCTTTGAATATCCTGTTGATTTAAATGGGGATGCCGATATCAGAGTGAGGTTGGAATGCTCTTTAAAAAGCTTTTTTACATCTTTTTCTGTAACTTCTGGCAAGTTAATCGCTGAACAAGAAGCCACAAAGGAGTTAAAGACAGTAGATGCTTCATCAGATGGTTGTGTATAGTTATACAGTACGAGATTAACTCCCATGGCTTTTTTCGGAACTCCGTCTTTCATTTCTATGCTACCTTTGTATGAAAGTATGATCACAAGCCTATTTTCCTGGCTGCATTCGCAACAAAACGATAAATTGATTGCGTTTTGATGAAGTCTTGGACACTCTTTCAAAATCATGTATTTTGCTGTTTGCAAAAGTGTGTCTATAACAACAGAATTTTTTCTCTTACCTTTAAACTGTTTTTGCAAATGAAAATCGAGGTTGAATATGTATGGCTTCACAAGCTCTAAAACTAATATGTGGTTTTGGTTTTCAATTGCAAAATCCATACAGCGATCAATAATTGAAGAAATGTCTTTTAGTTTGAATTCTATCATTGCTTCTTTTGTATATGCAGCAAATAAAATGGATAAAATGGATCGACATTTTGCAGACTGTGTTTTTCGGAAGACTTCATCACAGTCCTCCATCCAGCACAAAAAATCATAAACATGAAAATGGAATTGCAAGAATGGCTCAAAACTTTCACATTGCTTTTCAGCATTACTAAAATGAAGACCTGAACAGTCAAGGTAATCAACTCTCTGAATGATGTCCTCATATTCAGTACTTTCCATCTGATCTCCTTGATATGCCTGATGATGATTAGTTTCAATATTCAGAGAATTAATTAGTCTTTGGATTCTCCATTCATCTTCTTCATTTTTTCTTAGCTGTGCCTGAAGGGAGGTTCCCTCTGCAATGAAATGATGGAAAACTATGCATCAGTTCCATTTGCATTTAATTTGTCTGCTGAATACCCAGTAGCAAAGATGATTTTCAAAGAAATAATGCATTTTCACTCTGTCACCAATAAGTCCCACTCTAACACCAGAATCCCAGATAATGGGACATGAATTTCACAATTTTGAAAGAAGGCACTCTTGCTCATCATAACCATGCTCTTGATTTGTTTGCTTAATTCCCAGGAGTGGAGAAGGAGATTGTTAATGCCCTTTCACTACATAATGAATAGAGCCCCACCTTAACAATAAGACCCTTGACCCAGGGGTCATGAAATTCACGATTAAAAAAGGATCCATTGCTCATCATAGCCATGCAATTAGTTTTTAGCTAAATATGCAGGGATAGAGAAGAAGATTAATCTATTTTTCATAAAAATCAATACAGTCCCATCCTAACAACAGAACCCCAGAGACATAGGCCATGAATTTCACAGTTTAGAAGCACCCTGGTTCGCATAACTATGCATTTAATGTTTAATTCTGTACTTTGCGACTAGGGGCTGGGACCCTCAGAATAGTTAATTTAAGCATCCATAAGGCTAAATTGGGATTTCTTATAAAAACCAACTCATATGAAAAGCGATGTCAAATAATATTGCTTTTTGTCTTAGTATTACTTTGACAGAAATGTGTTAGTAATAAATCGAGAGTAATGATGGTATGAATCATGTAATAGCATAACAAAAACAATAGTGGTTTAAATAATCTTACTCTGAAAAAATTCACGATGACTGACAAACAAACCCTGCTTGAATTTTACTGTGAAACACGCAATAAACAAAATGATTTTGATCACAAATTATTTTTTTTTCTTTGAGAACACATCGGTATAGTACAGGCATTTTTGGATTGGGACTGGCGCCGAAATATCTTTTGCAGTGTAAAACTTATCGTGGCCTCATTCTTAAAAATGTGCGTAATCACAACCCTGCTGTTCGTTTTCCCTTTAAATTTCTATGTAAAACTATTTATTTCCTAATGTATATTACCCTATGTCGTGGGGCAATGATTTGAACCATCTTATATAATATGTATATCAGCGATATTCATAGCCCTGCTGTTCTTGACAATTTTTTTAAATGCATGTGGAACTATGATCCCCTATTGAGGCTGCACCCTGCCCAAGTTGATACAATTTGAACAATTTTTTTAAAAAGATCTCATTTATTTCACTACTTCTTAATTATCTTTCTTTGTAAAATGAGCATGTTTCTTTCCTTGAATAAATCTGATTTTCCTTTACCAAATGGTGCTTGAAAGTTAAGTTAAAATTGACCCAGTAGTTCTAAAAAAAAAAGTAAGTTGAAAATGAGAAAAATTTAAGATGGAAGGATAGACATTGACAGATACAGGGCCTAAGGTGGTCAGAAAAACTCATTTGAACTTATAGCTTAGGTAATCTAATCAGGTTTGCTAACAAAAGGGTACAATTAGTACTCATGGCGATTCCAACAGATTGTTGGAAGACCTAGCTCATATCCATCTTTTATAAATATTTCTGAATACTTGTGCATAGAAACAGAATGTTCATTTAATGTGCAAAGAGATTCTCTTCAGAGAAATATGTGTAAATAATGTTAACCCTTCTCTTCGATCCACTCTATCTTTTCTTTTTTGATCTGTTTCCCTCCACTTTCCCTTTCAAACTGTTTCCTTTTTTGATTTCTGTAGATATTTGGTAACATTCCTCAAATACGTGTAGAATTTTCTACATAATCATATATTTAAGACATTCATTTTTATAGAAAAACACAAAGTGACATGAAATTCTAAATTCTCCAAATAAAAGGTATCTTTAAAAAATGAAAATACAGTGAAAACTGTTTGAGTTATAGCCTTACTACAAAAGTGTTGACAGACAAACGGACGGGAGGAAGGATGGTCAGACTGAAAAATTAATGTGCCTTATTAAATGGAAAATTCCCTCTATACAAAATTTGAAATTGTGATGATGAAAATTGTTGGAGTTATTGTTTTATTAAAGATGAACATACAAACAGACATTCAAAGCAACATGATTCTGAACTTTTTTAATTGTAAAGTATTTACCCCGACAAAAGACTATAGTTAACTATAGTTAATAATTTGATACTTTGATTTACTCTAGAACTTCTTTTTTGAGATTTCAAAGCATAAAATCTTTAATATTTGATAGCAATGGTGTAAAATTTGGATATAATATGAGAATATACAAGTAATACTTCAATTTAATATTAAAAAAATGCCCATGTATATGTTAGGCAACGTAAACGAAATCCATATAGTAAAAATATATTAAAATTTACTATCGTTAATTAACTTTGATACTATAATTAATTATAGTACACTATAGTAAATTATAGTTAACTACGATATTATTATGTTGGAGGTATATCTGTGTAAATTTGAAAAACATTATAGTGAAAACTGTCTGAGTTACTGCGTCAACAAATGTGATGATGGACAGAAAAATTAACTAATAAAATTTGAATTTGCTAGGATAAAAACTCTCTTAGTTATTCACGTCCTGATATATATTTATATACAGACAGACAAAGCAATATGACACCAAAATTTACAGGCCTCTTTCTGCTCTTATGTAAATATTTCTGTACAAAATCAGAAAATGTTATTCGAAACTGTTTACAGACAGACAGCCAAGGTGATTCCTATAGGGCTCCGATAAATTTGATTTTGTTTGATGTTGTTTTATTGAAAACTGTTTGGGTTATTAAACTGTCAAGATAGATATACATACAAACATATATACATAATCATAGACAGACAGACAAAGTTATATAACCTCAAAAGTTATATTAGGAATCTTACTCTTTTGAAAGCATTTAAGTCAAATATTAGTCTGGAGGTCTGACATGAAGTCAATCATCAGCTTAAAATGTTTTCTCCTAGAATAAAAGGATGATACTAGAGTAGAAAAAAATCATACACATACTGCCTATTCTAATCTTTTTTTCGCTTTCTTTTGTAATCGGTTTTGTTCCTATGCATTTCCTATGTATGAATGATTCAAAGTCCAGGGAAACTGTCCTCTGTTCCTCCCCCTGTTTCTGTTGATGTACAATACATTTAATCTTGAGGGGATAATCAGGGAAATCACTTCCTGTCTTCTCTTCCTCATCAGCATCTGCGCAAGAAAATAATCTAGATTTTAAGTAAAAAATGACTGTTAATGTTAAAATTCAAGCTCCTGTTCAAGTCAAGCTAGAAATATGTCCATAGGTCCAGGGTTCATTAGTTATGCAACATGAAAATTTTTACTAGTACATGAAGTTTGATGAAAATATCTTGAATATTTTCTTTAAAGCTTACCTTTATACACAATAAATAATTAAGTCAAAGGTTGTTGAGAAATTCAAGGTAAAAATCAATTGGATTCAGTTGATAAATTCTCAAGAAATTATGTAACAGTGCATAAGCTTGCATAAAAGTATCTTGAATAGTTTCTATAGAACTGAGCTAAAGGAAAAAGAAAAGAAAGGTCAAAGTCGTACATTTTGGACACAGTTAAAATAGTAAGTTTTCACCAATATGTATCAGTATTTCTGTTTAGATTACAATATCTTGAATAATTTCTTTGAAACTGAGCAAAATGCAAATTCAAGAAAAGTGAAAGTCAAGGTCAAAATAAAGGTCAAAGTCAAAATTTAGACCTATACTCGGCACTCAGGGCCAATGAACAGTAAGGGTTCTTTAGTGTGCCAACGCCGACCAAGACACGGGACCTCGGTTTTTAAGGTCTCGTCCGAAAGACCCGTGACTTTCACTTCTACATGTAGTGCCGGGCGCTTGGCGAAGAAACAGTCACTACCTATGTTTACATCTTAGGTTGACGCGGTGCGGCGAACGAGAATCGAACCTAGGCCTCTCGATCGCTTAGCGAGCGCCATAGGCATACCCCTAGGCTAACGTGACCGGTCTTTGAAACTGAGCTAAATGCAAAGTATGATGATTTGGGCGGACAGATGGAAGGACGGAAGACAGATACTAGTATGACAAACATATGTCCCAGTCATATTCATGGCAGGGCAAAAATCTGTTAGCATAAGTGTGCTATGAAATTTCTACTAACAATTTACATGCTAATTATCAAAGTCTTATCGTTATTCATTTACAGAACATAAACTTATGTTTTACAAAAAGGTTGTCCTAGGTGACCAGTTTAACAATCTTGTTCACGTTAATATAGTGAAACCTGCATAATCAGTCAAGCTATGGAAAAATATAATTGATGGATAAAACTAAATGACAATGTTGCATAGTTTTACAGAAATATCCATCCACTTGACAATAATTTTAAAAAGTTTTCTCAGTCTCCAACTGAATAAAATATCAGTGTGTGAGTACTGCATAAACACTGATTTTCACCAAATCTAAACTGAACACAAATTTAAAAACTAATACACCTCCAGAGCACCACTTCTGATGTTTCCAGGGTCAGTGTTTCCTCTACTTTCATTTTGTAATGCTGATTTGGATTTTTGAGCTTGCTTACTGTTTGTTAGCTTCACTATTCATGACATGACATAATGTATAAAAACAAAATCATCAGTATGAATGGGTACATGCATCTTAACATGGCTGATTGAAATAACATTTACCATGGTCAACCAATAAAACACATACAATAATCAATGAAGCGGGTTATCTTAGGTTAAAATTAGTGATGTACCGATTAATCGATTAAATCGATAATCTAATCGAAATGGTCCCCGATTATAGAAAATCGATTATAATTTTGATAATCGATTACTCAAAATATTTGTTAAAAGCAAATTATTCCTTTGATTTTTGATTCATTCTTCTTTGAATTTAACTAAATCCTAAATAATAATCCAATTAATGAACCCAATGATACAAAATATTTCAAAAATGTACTCTAGAAATCTCTCCAGAATTTCTAATCAATTTATTCTTCATTCAAAAATGAACAAATATAATATTTGAAATTGATAGATTTTTAATCGATTATAGTGCATCCGATTATTCCGATAATCGATTATGGAAAAAAAAATCCCGATTTCCCATCACTAGTTACATGTTAAATTTAATTTTTTGGTTAAGGTAAACTTAAGTTTATATCAAAACAAATATATTAACAAACCTTTTATACTCTGATTTTCTATGATGTCATGCCAGCCGTGTTCTTTAGATATGGCACATATCACACACAAGGGAACGTCACAGTCCACACAGTACTTCCCTGCTGTATTTGTGGGATGCTTCATACATTTCATGATCTGTAGAGGACGGTCTGTAAGAAGAATTGTTAGATTAATCATGTTATTAGTACTTGATATTTATCATCCTATACAAAATAAAATCTTATCTCAAAATTAATTCAGTCACTATTATATATATAATATATAATTGACCTCATCTTAAAAATTTTGAAATTTTAATTAATATTCTGTCCACTGTAGTCGTGGGAGTCTGTACAAATTCCATCATCGTTGTGCTGGACTGGGTTCTCAAAGAATCAGAATTTGCAAGCCCATAAATCGTTTACTTACACAAATTTGTATCAAGTAGTTTTGATCACATTGAAAGGATCTTAATCATTCTAATTACATTATTATAAAAAAATCAAGTAAAGATCTATTCTTTCATTATTATATACCAAAGTTTACAAGTTACTAATTAAGGCTGAACTTGTATGTGCACTGGTATAAAATTAAACTCAATGTTTGTACTATTCTTTTCTCTCTGAGTAACTGCATCAATCTGTGTTCACTTTCACAGAGCAGTATTATCATAATGAATTAAACTTCTGTTTCAATTTATATCTATCTTTAAATCAGTTTGTTTTCATTTTTCAAGCACAAAAGTCTGACGTCAAGTACGAGGGCGTTCAATAATTTTGCCCAACTTGTAATACAGCAACAAAAACAAAATGGAAATTCGAATTATTTATTTGCATTCCTTCAAAGTAATCTCCCTTGTATTTAATACAGAGATAAGTTAATCACCAAAAGTTGGATGAAATTAAAAGTGAAAATATTTTGATACTTAAAAAAAAAAACATCAAAGTTAAAATTTTTTTAACAAAATATTCATGAAAATAAAAGGAACAGAGGACACGAAGCTTCGGCGCTTTCAGTTTAAGCTTTTACATCAACTATATTACAAATAGCAAACTTATGAAATGTAATTTAGCTGTAACAGAAGTTTGTTCTTTTTGCCATGATACTAAAGAAACAATCATTCATTTACTTTGCTTGTGTCCTTTTTTCATTACTTTATGGTCTAATTCGAAACACGTGTGGTTTAACAATTAAATTTACTCCTGAAGAAATTTGGATATAAAAGTTCTAGTGAAACTGCTTTCAGAACGTTGAACATAATTACATGTATTCTGGTTGCAAAGCAGCAATATATAATGAATTGTAAATGGAAAAAATATAACACCGTCTTTTTATGCTTACTTGGAAATACTTAGATACTATAGAACTATAGAGCTCTTTTCCTCCTTCTTTCTCTCTCTCTCTCTCTCTCTCTCTCTCTCTCATAAGAAAGCAGACATGATAAAGCTAAGTTGGGATTTTTTGAAAACATTTCTCAGTCAGTGAAAGAAAAAATGTTACAGAAAATTTTTCTATTATGTACAAATATTTGTTTTTATTTCATAATGTTGTGGATTTGTAATGTTTGTATAACAATACATGTTATGACTGAAATAAAAAATATGAATGACAAAAAAAGTTGTTTAATCCAGTCAAAAACAATTTTTATAGGTTTTTTGTGGTATGCTCCTCTAATACTGAAAAATAGCTCAGCGCTGACCGAGAATGAAATCGCCTTGCAGAAAGGAAAGTGCTTCTTTTAGTTTTGGAAATAGGAAAAAGTCACAAGGAGACAGATCAGGTGAATATGAAGGATGTGGAAGTTCCAGAACTTTGTGACGCTGTAGATAGACCTTTGTTACTTTTGCTTTATGGGCAGGAGCATTGTCATCCAGAAGTTTAATGTCTCTCTCAAGCCAGTATTCGGGCGTCTTTTTGTGAAATATATGACGTTTCGAAGGACATTTGACGAATACTTGTTTCCATGACACGTTTGCCCTTTGGGACTGCATACCGAATTACCGATCCATTAGAGTTTTAAAAAAGGTATTGCGTATAGAGCTTTTTGGGATGTTAGAGTTCTTTTTGCAATTGTTGGCCTCTTTGTATTCTTTCCAATTCAGACAGATTTTTTACTTTTCTTTCTGGTTCGAAAAAGTGGACCAACACTTAGTCACCTGTAACGATCTGGCAAAGCTTCCTATTGTCCATATCTTTAATGATCATTTTCAATATATTTTGGCACATTTGTACACGTTCTCTCTTCTGCTCTTTGGTCCGAACATGTGGAATCCACCTTGCTCAAAGTTTTGGGTAATTTATGACATAAAAATATAATACATGTACATACATGTATGTTTATTAATTACACATCTCAAATTCATATGATTAATATAATTTTCAATTTAACTGAACAATAAAAAACACAAATCTTATACAGCAGATAATATAATGAAAATTCAAAGAAACATTACAACAAGGACTATGATATATAAATATACCTAGAACCCTCAATACTTATTCCATTATCTTGATTATAATTTATCTAAGGAATAACTGTCAAGATTTCTGGTTTATGATGTAATCAATCAGTTTACTATATTTATAATTTGCATTAATGCCCAAGTGTTTATGCATAAAATTATCACGCGAGCAAACTGATTGATCATCACCGTAACCCCCCCCCCCCCCCACACTCCACAAAAAAAAAAAAAAGACAGTTTTTCCTTATACTTAAATTCTCATCTGATCCTTGTTTTAATAGAAAATAATTATTCAATTTTGAGAAATCTCTGCACTCCCCGTCCAGTGTTTTACAAAGCAACACAGAGAGAAAGCATCGAGTTCTGTCACGAGCTGAGCAAATCTCTCTATGAGTTTATAAAGCTACAACCCTATTTGTACATGTAGTTTCATCTCGGACAAAGAAATTTGAAAATGTAAATATATTTATATTTTATGCCCGTTTTGCGGCTATGCAAGTACGTATATCGGAAAGTCCCTGTATATATACATGATATATACACTTGTATATCATGTATATGTTCACTTTGTTGTTGTTCCCTGATCCAACTCACAGATCGTGAGTTTTATCATCATAACTCAGGCAGCTTGGTTTGTCTATCCTGTGACGTGTCTGTATCTATGACAGAAAGTGTCCGTCCCTTTCAAACATCTGTCCTGTGTGAGTGTTACCAATTACACACCAGGATTTGTGACAGCGCGTCTGTACAGATTCCTAATTAATGGTAATATTAGTGATCCTGATGGAGGCCCTGTGTAGGAGAAGCGATCGATGTCTTCCTCAATGGTTTGTCACCACGACACGGAGAAAGTCAGACACAATAACATCTCCATTGTGATTCTCTATGACGTAGTTAGGTTCACTTCACAGTTCCTGACGTGTGTCGTTGTCGTGTTGTATGGTCTGGATGTGTTCTCCTGTGGAGTTATACCGGAATACCTTGTCTGACATATACATCCCGACCAGCAGGTCTCCAGTGGAGGGGGAGCTGTAGACACACAGTGGTTCCCATGGTGCTGTGTACTTTATTAATGTAGTCTTTACTTTGTTCTCTGTAGACAGTTTGTTGATGTTATACTCACTGCCTATATAAATTAAATCACCGTCACAGTTCACAGTGTGTCCTCCATAACCACTACCTATACCTGTCAGATGATGTAGATGATCACCTGCTGTGTTTGTCAAGATGAGGTTGTTCCTATCACTGATCCAGACGCGGTCTGATGATACACGGGAAATATGACGACACTGACGAACACCTGTCACTGTGACAGATTTCTGTAACACAAATCTATACATCATTTACAGCAGACATTTATTTCGTCTTTTTCCTGTGGTTTCTCTCCACAAGAGAATCACTTGCTGATTTTCTCAGTCAGGGAGATTTCTCTAGCTGTAAATAGCAACATTGTACAATAATAATCTACATCAATAACAGTATAATCAATAACATCAAAACGTACGACTTTTCAACACTTTATACAACCATTCCCCACGATAAATTAAAATACAGGCTTTTTGACATCATAGACATATCATAGTGTAAAATTGACCCTCTGATATATTTTCTATTTTTAGTATAAATTTAGTATAAATTTATTATCAATTTCAAATTATTTTTATTTCATTAATTTTTATTTACCAGTTGGTATTTTTATTTACTGCAATAAAATTCATGGCTTTGGATTTAGAAGAAATAATAACTTGATGCCCTTTGTCAGTTTTCTTGAGAAAAGTTGTGAAATCAATTAGTGTCATCCTTTCGTGTAAAATCTGTGCTTTTCTTAGTTTTCCGCAAATGGAACTTTGTTTTCTTAATTACTTAAATTGTATTTTGCCGTAAAGCCCTATTGTTAATCTTCCGTTTGATGTCGAGTCTGAGTCCTTTTAGATTAACGCCCTTTTGTAACAATTAGTGGCAAGAATAACTCAACACCTGGACAGGGGACGCTATCGGGTTTTTGTCCGTCACTTTTGCGACGGACATTCACGAATAAACAGCTTTAATTTTAAGACTGTCTCCTGTCCTGTTTTTCAGGCAATGTAGATTTACTTTGTACTTTGTATTTTCCTTTATTTTCATTTTTATATTTTGTCTAATAGTTCATGTTGATAAACTAGTACATGTTAGTAAAAATCTCATACTTACAAAATGTTATTTTTCACAAATCTGAAGTTAAACATATGTTGTATTTAATGTTTGAAAGTATGTGTCAGGAAACCAAATTACATGTATAAAGTGAAGTTTTAGTATTAGAATAATAGAGTTTTTGAAAGAAGTCATTTTGTCGAATTTACAGTGTTTTGGCCTTTCCGGATATTTGGCATCTATTTTGTACTGGTTTTCTATTTAGTATTCAAAACATTGTTGTACAAGTAAACGTGCAGTCGATTTTACTGTTCTACTCTATTAATCGTTTGTAAAAAGGAAAAATGCTGAAAGTATCTATGTAAGTAAACATGTTCTTATGATGCATAACTATTATACATGCTGTAGGTGTAGATTGTTTGTAAAATCATATGCAAGACTAGTAGAACGTAGCTTAGTACATGTGTACTTGTACTCAATGACCGAATATGGTAAATGTACTAGGTTTTACTGTAAAGTGTGTTTATTTAGTAGATTAGGGTTTCTTTGTATGTTTGTCCATTAGGACCCC